TGAGCCGCGGGTGACGGTGGCTCTCGCTGCTTGCGCCCCCTCCTCCCGCGGGGGGAGCCTGATGCCACGTTCCCTATGAATTATTTATCGCCGGCCTAAAAATACCCCGAACTTCACAGCCCGAGTGTAAGAGATTCCTGCGGAGGGGAGGGGGCGGGGCGTCCCGGGGGCCGGGGGGAGTCCGGGCTTGGTCAGCAGAGACTGGGGGCGGTAGCCTTGGAGGAGCGAGAACTCCGTGCCCCCAGCAGTGGGGCATGCTAGAACGGCGGTCCTCTCCCCTGGCGCCTCAGTTCGGGTTTTGGCTGGGCAAAAGGGAGGGAGGGAAACCCGACGGCAAAGGAAGGGCGGCTCACCGGAAGGGCAGGGGGTCTGGGGTTCTGCTGGTGGGTGGGGAGGACTCCAGCGACCAAGTTTCCTAGCCTGGGAGAGGGGGAGCCATCGGTATCTCCGATGTGAGCCGGTGTGAGTGCGGGAGTGTGCATGTGCGTGCAGGTCTGTGCCAGGGGATCTGGCTGAGCTGTGGGGACCCAGGAAGAAGGCCCCCAGCCTGGGAAGGTGCTCAGACCCTTCCAGATGCTGCTGTGTCCTGAAGGATTGACCACTGCCATCCTCTCTGGGGCTCTTTGGGGATCTCTGTGTTTGTCAAACATTAGTTTAAGGGCTGTTTGTGGAAGGGGTGAGACCCTGAGTGGGTGGGTGGGCAGAGGTCTCTGAGACAATGTGTCTGCCCTCAAGGAGCTCGCAGTCCAGTGTGGGGCAGGGTGTTCATGAGTGCACACACACACACCTGCCGCAGGACAGAATGGAGGGGTGGAGGGGACTACTGCACAGAGCTCCCCACCCAGGAGGGGAAGCCAGGGCAAAGGGAAGAAGGGCAGCTGCCTCAGCCTCGCCGCAGACCCTGCACCTGGAGCCTGAAGCATCAAGGCAGGTGCCTGTGGGAGAGGGATTTCAGCTGGGCCCTGAAGGAGAGTAGACTTCTGTTGGGATGAGGACGTTCCAGCCTGGGGGATGCTGGAACAAGGCCTGGAGACGAGGGCAGAATGGGGCTGTTTGGCCAGCAGACTGGCAGAGCTGTGGGCTCCAGGGATGGGAGAATGGTTGGTTGTGGTCAGGGTGCAGAGGGCTCTGTCTATGGGACTAAGCTGTCCGGACTTCATTTGTGGGCACCACGGAGTAGCTGTCCTGTGTGAGGAGGGAGCAGTGGCTGGAGGGAGGCTTCAGCAGTGCAGTGGGGCTGGTGGGGGTGGGTAGATGGGAGGTGGGGAGGGGGAGGCAAAGGAGGAGATTGTGGTGGGGCAGAGCGGGGTTTGTCCCTCCTACCTCTGTAGGGCGGCGGGGTTAGACAGGGTAATAAGACAGACGTCAGAAGCTCCTTGAGTCTGCCTCTTGCTATTTGGAGCCCAGGGACTTACCTAGTTTTGGCCCCTCTCTCTGGAGGTATTCTGGGATCCCTCCCCCATTTTAGGCCCCTTGGTTAGAGGTACAACCTGCCTCAACTCCCCCACCCCCCAGCCCAGGAGGATACCTTCCCTTTGGAGAGAGTCTCTGGTGTCTCCAGCCCAGGAGGATGCCTTCCTATTGAAGAGAGTGGGAATGAGAGCACTTTCAGCTGTTATCAGACCCTATTCCTGCGCGTGAATGAGCTTTAGGTCCTTGGTTAAGAAAAGGTCTTGACTGGGGAGGCCGGAAGCTTGAGGGGAGTAGGGAGGGCAGCCTATTGGTGGAAAGAGAGATACATTTAGAAGAAGGAGGTTGGAGACGCTCATGGCAGACTGCTTATTCTGCCCCTTTGCAGTTGAGGAGCCTGGGCCCTTCATCCAGGGTAACACTGTCCAGAGAAGTAAAATAAATAAATAAATAAAATGGGAGCCACAAGTACAATTTAAAGTTTTCTAGTAACCACATTAAAACAAATAGAAAGAAACAGGTGACATGAATTTTAATAGTATATTTTCCTTGACTAAACATACCCCAAATGTTATTATTTCAACATGTAATTAAGATACAAATGTTTATGAGATTTTGACATTCTTTTTCCCTATTGTCTTCAGTGTGCAGTGTGGGATGAAATTTTATACTGGTAGCAACCTCCGTTTGGGTGAGAGATGTTTCCGGTACCCAATAGTCGTATATGACTGGTGGCTCCTATACTGGGCAGCACAGATCTAGAGCTTATCACTGGGAGGCAGTGGTGGTAGGAGGTTTGGGACTTCCCAGAGGGCAAGGAACCTCTAGGACCTGGAGGTGTGGGCAGAGGTGGGCAGACAGAGGCCTTACAAGGGGAGCGACAAGCGTGTCAGTGAGCTTTGTGCTCGAAATTTGACATCCCTGATTGGTGGTGGTAGCTGAGGCATGGCGTGGCACTGATTGATCCCATGCCAGACTCAAACATGTCTCTGGGCTGTCAATTCTGTCACTTCTGTGTCACTGTACTAGGGAACCATACACATGGGAAGAATTCAAGGGCACCAACATGAGAACAATATTCCCTTCCTTGCCAAAACTCCTGTCTTGTTAGCCTGAAATTCTACCACCTGGCACTTTAGCTTAAGGCTCAACTACCTCTCTCTTGGGAATGAGAACCCTTTCAGCTATTATCAGTCCCTTATACCTTCCTGTGAATGAGCTCTAGATCCTTAGCTGAGAGAAGGTCTTGAGGGGGAGGCTGGGGAGTTTGAGGGAAGTAGGGAGGGAAGGGTGGAAAGAGAAATACATTTAGAAAAAGATGAGGTTGGAGGTGCTAACAGCAGCATGCTCATTCTGCAGATTTGACTCCAAGTTCCTGGAGCGGAGGGACCATGTCTCACCCACAGGGACATTCCACCATCCAGTGCCGACCACAGGGAAGGGGTTCAGCACACATGGCCAATTTATGTTTCTGCACTAAAGTCAGTCTAGTGGGTTCCCCTGGAGGGATCCTTTCAGTGCCACCCTGGGGAGAAGAGGAACTTTCCTGAATGTTCCTGGTAGCCTCTTGCACTTCCCCGCTCTCTGGATTCCTTAGAGAGGACTAGAGACCCAAGAAGGCCCATATGTCTGTAAGACATTAGGCTTTGGATTAAAAAAAGAGAGAGAAATTTGGCGGCAGGCAAAAGGAAGGCCCTGTGAGAAAGCTGGAGCCTGCCCAGCCATTGCCTCGGGCCCCAGCCCTGAAGGGCATCTGCCTTTCCGAGGCGCGGTTTCTGGCAACTTCTTGATTTTTGTGAGCATTTCTGTAGCAGAAATGTGCAGATCCTGGGGGAGGCGGGAGGGCTAGAGTGGCAGGCTCATCCTGTCCACCCTTTAGCTCTCCCCTGCTCAGAAGTTTTGCTGGGGATGTGATGAAGATGGAAGAGGTGGCAGTGCCGTGGCCGATGGCCAGCTGGGAGGGAGAGCGACATCCGTGGGCACCACTCCACTCAGGCTTTGCGTTACCCTCACTGCTGTGGCTCTTGGTCCCAATCCAAAATAATCACATTTAGCAAGGATACATGTCAGGGCCCTGGATCGGGTTAAAAAGATCCTGCACGCCAGTGATGGCCTGAGAGGCCAGCCCACCAGCTCATGTGAAACGAGACCAAACCCCAGCTCACCAGCTTGGGGTTTCGGGTACCCCTGAGCTCTGAACAAGTCAGCGCTGTTGCACCCTGCTGCGTAAGAGCTGCTGCTAGCTGAGGCCACAGAAGGAAGGGCTGTAGTGACGTCCAGTGCTGAGGAGGAGGGGGCTCTGTGCCAGGCAGAGCCATGCAGAGCAGGGCCCTTGGGGCTGGCCCCATGGCAAGCAGGGCACGCTGGACCAGTAGCACAGGCCCTGATGAGAGACAGATGGAAGATCCCGTTTAGACTACAGAGAGGACTGGTGGCGGGGCAGGGGGTTGAGGGTGATGCAAGAGCTGTCTTCCTTCACCTGGCTGGGGTCCTGTCACCTGCAGGATAAGGTCACTAATCCCAGCAAATAGCCTGTTAGCTCATCTAAGTCCCACACTGCTGTGATGATTTCAGGCAAGAAAACATGGCTCAGAGAGGCTAAGTGACTTCCCTAAGATCACACAGCCAGTTAGTGGCAGAACTGGGACATGAACTCAGATCTGTCTGACTCAAATCCATGCACTTGAACCCCAGACTAGCATTTTCAGTATAACTTCCTAGGGCAGAGCCCGGTGGCTGAGTTTCGGAAGGCCTTGCCTTTCCAGCCAAGTGTGCAGTTCATTGGTAGACTGGAGGGCTGGGTCCGGGTTGTGGCTCCTCTTCTTCCCTGGCCCTTGCTCTTCCGGGATGACCTTGGGATGCTCAACTAACCTCTGTCTCTTTCTCTTTGTCTGTGTCTGTCTGTCTCCCTCTCTCTCCGCCTCTCTTCGGGGAGGGAGGTTTTCCCTTCTTCTCTTTCATCTTCTGTATGTGTGCCCCTCTGTCCCTCCTGTCTGTCCATCTACCTCTCCAAACCTCTGTTTCCCTACCTGTGCTTGTCCTGGTCTCTCCGCAGGACCCTCCGGTGGACATGGGTGGGGCCCTGGGGCCGGCCCTGTTGCTCACCTCGCTCTTCGGTGCCTGGGCGGGGCCGGGGCCGGGGGCGATGGGGGGACACAACACGCCCACCAATCAACCCACTACACAGTGTGTTAAATAAAAAGGGTTTTATTCTTTTCACTTAACAAGGACTCTGGGGGCCAGCAGCTGCCAGCCCTGGTTTATTCCCCGCCTCCTCTCTGCAGTTATCTTGGGTTTTCCCCATCATGCGAGAAAGCAACCTCAGCTCACTTGGTTATGTGAGCAGGGGGTTGGGGGAACGGTAACAGCACCAGTCACATCCATCCCTATTGTCACCAGATCATGAGTTGTCTTAGACCCCACCCAGCAGGCATCTCCTTTTCAGGAAGAAAGGCTGCAACAGGGTGGAGGAAGATGAAGTGTCTGTCATGGGTGGAGGATAAGGTGACCAGCACAGGGTCCCACCCTCAGGGAGTTGCGAATCACTGTTTCACTTCACTCCCGGGACAGTCCCGCCTTCAGGTTCGTTCAGCTGCAAGACCCAGAACCCACTGGTGGTGGATCCTGAAAGCACCACCCTCTGGATCCTGAAAGCACCGCCCTCTTTGATGCGGGATCCGATGCCCCAGCTGCTGGGGGAGCTGACCACAGACAGCCTTCAGCTCTCAGAGCCCTTAGGGATAAACTCGACTGCAGAGTGTGGCCTCGCCCAAGGTCATGCTCTTCCCAGAAAGTTCCTCATCCAGTGACTGATCCTTACAGACCTGATCTTTTTGGCCTGACTGGGATGATTTTGAAGGTCCATTCTAACTCCAGAGCTTCCCATGGTGTCAGTTCAACTGTGCTCTCTACTGGCACCTCCAACTCCACAACTGAT